CCCCCCCCCCCCCCCCCCTCCCCTCCCCAATATTTTCAAGAAGTCGGCTCCTATGTTTAAAGATATCTGCATGAGGTGCATCATTTCGATCGTAACGGGTCTAATAGAACTCTATTTGAGTCTAGTGTATCGTTACGCGCTTGGTATGCACCATAGAAGTTGAATCTGGACTGATTGCATGCAATGCAGCTTTTTTCCAACTTATAGTGGACAACTGATAAATTGGGGGGGGGGGGGGGGGGGGGGGGGGGGGGGGGCACGTGCTCTCATGACGCTACGCTACTGCCTAATCCAGATGAGCCAACACTTCCTCCAAAAAGTTGCTATTCCCGGTCTTCCGGCGAAGTGTTCAAGGATTTTGGATAAATTGATCAGTGAGGTTAGAAAAAAATGGTTTCAAAACTTCCATTAGAGGCATTCTGTGTTCGGTTTTGCTCAGTTAATCTGCTTAGGCGTGGCGAGGCCCAAGTCCCAGCTGAGTCTCATCCATGGGATCGAGGTTGGAAATGGGGGGGGGGGCAGCCGACCACAAGTTACGCTATATGACAGGAGACAAGGATCTACTGTCAGTAGAACGGTTCGGTGAGCTATATAAAACCGAAGCAGAGGAGTGCGGGTTATTTTAAGCATGTATAATACATCAGCGCATGAACCGCTGTTGCGAAGTAACGACACGCAACGAACTCATACTCTCCTACCGCCGAGAACAGGATCCATATCACGAATGCAAGGGGGGGTGAAATTGGCTCGTCCTACCTTTCGTGATAACACGTTCACCTTCCTCGCTATTGCCAGGTTATTTTCATGGGCCTAAACTTAAACCAAGAATTCCCGATGGGAAATGTTTTAAGTGTTGATTATAGGTTATGAAATTAGTCACGGCCAAATTCCACGATCATTTTCCGCGAAATTACACTTTCTCCTTCGCAATGAGAAATCATACAAGAGAACAATCCAGTCCACTAATGTCCTAGGTTATACCAATACAGCCATTACGTCATGTCGCTGGAACAGACGACCGAAATGAATGGCCAAGAAAAAGCAAATAGAAAATGAACATCTCTCTTTATTTGCAGGGACTTAAATACACGGGCACATCTTGGACATAAAAAAAGGTATAAATAGTATCTATCTATACAAAATTCAGGCCTTCAAAATATATGCCACTTCCACAGCTCCAAAGCATGGGTACCCATCCTAAGGACCAGCTTCCATATCCATCCACCGATGCTCCTGACCGGGAGTAGACTGAAGAGCAAAAAGCTACAAATATTGTGCCATGAAAATGACAGAAAGGACTCCAGCTCTACGCCATAAATAGGGACTTTAAATGGGTGTGTGCACCACTTCTCTTACAGCATTATTGAAAAAATTATCCCTATTATGGACTAAATGTATGAGTGGAGATTCTGCTTCACACCGACTCTGAGAAGAACGCAGGACTCAAACACATGATCTATGAAAGAGTGCCTGTCCTGCTTGAAAAGCGCAGAACACCCAGGGGCCCTGCATGTGTCATTGCCTCCACTCTCATTGATTTGCAGTCCATCTGGGATATCCATGGAAAGAGATTGCAAGCTAGCAATTGCTTTTAGGATGAGAAATACTGAGAAAAGGCCTATGGTAATGTGACAATGTATTTCTCTGTGGACAATTTTCAAATACACCATAGACATACTGCATCTGAAAGCCATGATTCAAGTGGGAAAGACACAAAGAGAAAAGAAGAGGCCAGCAGGTAGGAGATCAAAATCAGTTCAAGACAATCCACTCTTAATTTATGACCAATTGAAATCCTGACTAAAGTAAGAGCTCATATTTTCTTAAATGTTGCATGCCATGGAATTAGAAAGAGAATCAAAGCAATATCTTTCACAGAAAGAAGTGCTCCAAAACATGACACTGACCTTTAACACTCATGAAAAAGAATCATGATCATGTCACAGATCAGGCTGAGGTATGGGAACACTAGCAATCATGGTCAAAGACGTGTACTCAGCTCAAAGGAGGAGACAGATCAAGAAGTCCACAGAAACAGCACCCCTCCTCATGTGTGATATGGTCAAAGACTCTGATATTAATGCTTGCTGCCTTCTGTCAAATATTGGCTGTCAGCACCAACGATTATGAAGTTGCTTTGCAGTATAATAAATTATCTTTAATGAAAAGCATAATTGAAATGATTGTTCAGCAACTGCCTGCATTTATTTGTACTCAAAGCTCAGGGGAGAAAAAAGAAAAAAGGCCATTACCAATTATAAGATTTGCTGGAGTCAGGGAGGGAGGGAATACCTAGAGTTGCACAGTGCCAATGCACAAACAAATAATTCCAAAGACAGTATGCCTCCTCCTGTGCAATGATACTGGCATTTTTGGGTTTGTCACATGTTCCTTGTGAACTAAATGACTGGCAGAAATCTGCATTCAGTGAATTACCTAGTCCTACTTCAATTTCATCATTCCACAACACTGTCAAAAGCTTCCACAGATGAGTTTCTCTGGCTCATCTGCAGAAATTTGCTTACTACATAATGCAAAAAAAAAAGAAGTTGCACATACCCAACAGCTTATCTTTGGCAGGCTACCCTGGTCTGCTGATCACTGACGCTGTTCTAGCAACAAAAATTTTCCCCAAGTGAAATATGGAATGCTAATCTCAATTTCAAGATCCACTGTTGCCACTATCAGGATCACCACCGGTTGGAGCCTTGGTTGAGCGTTGAACAAGCCTCTCGGATTTCCGTGTGGGCAAAGGACCATCTTTGCTATCAGCACCCAAAGACCGACGTGGAGATGCTTTCAATGTGTCCTTGGTCTCCGAGCCCTTTCGGAGTTTTTCAAGGTCAATCACACTCACAGGGGCTTCAGACTTTTCTCTAATGTTCAATTCATCAGAACTTCTCTTATCCGCAGAGCTGAGGGGTGCTGATGCCTTCCCCAAGTGTTTCTCTCTCCAGTGATCAACATATGCAGAAAATCCCATCAACTCTTCCTTGCATTCCTTGCAAGTATGCTTGACAGGTGTTGTGGTTGCAGAGGAAGTAGTAGTAGTAGCAGTAATGGTAGTGGAAGTGGCGGTGGTGGTTGTAATGGTAGTGGTGCTGGTGCTGCTGCTGTTGCTGCTGCTGTCAGGTGCACCTTTTGGCTGAGGAATGATGGTGATTTCGTTGTTGATCTTGATGGCTCCTGAGGGACTTGATCGAGCGGATGATGTCTTTACTTGTGGAGGGGGAGTACTGGTCACTTTTTTTCCAGCATATGAATTGGATACCTTCTTTGCTACCAAACTATGTGCACTGTAGACATGCTGTTCAAATAACCGGTACATGCTGAAGGTAGCAGTGCAGACAGTGCATTTGTATGACAGATGGGCAGGTTTCAGCGTGACTTTGTGGTCTTTGGATACATGCACCAGAAGCTTCCATTGGTACACCTGCAAATAGATAAATAAATTTAGCACATAAAGAAATTACTGGCAACTCATGTTATAAAACAAGATACTTCTTTACCTGGCAGCACATTCATAAGGAGAACTTTGAAACTTAAAATTATCCTATTAAACCAGTACCATGAAAAAGAGTCATCACAAGGAATAGAATATCAAAATTGGAAAGATGGGATCATTTCATAAAAATTATACTGGTTCAAAATATCTGAGTCTTGGGGGAAAGATCAATGTAACCCTCTATATAAGAGACATTACAGCTTACCTTGCCACAAATTGGACAGCGACCACTGTCCTGACCCCTGTTTGCAGCTTCTTGCATAGATGAAGTCACTAAGCCATGAGAACCTAATAAATGCCTTTCGAGGCCTTGATCGGTGAAGAACCGGAATTGACATTTTTGACAATTCAGTGGTGGCCGGTTGTGGATCATTTTTGGATGAATTTTCACTTTGTGAATCCATTGCATGTGATTCCTCAACTGCTCCAGGTCCTGAAAATGAATGAAATATTGACTTCAGTCAAACACAAGGCCCTTTGGTGCTGCTATTTTCAAGGACAAAGTAGGACAGACATGATGGAATTATTAGAGTATGTCACTTTTCTTGTCATATGAAAACAGGACAAAGTGAAACCCTGCATTTCCTAAATTAATGAGGACTATAATTTAAATTATTATAATCTTACCTTGATATAACCATCACAGATTTCACAAATGACAAAAGTTGCAGCTGGCTGCCCAGGTTTAGCTTTTGTGGGGACTCCACTGGGAATGGATTTCCCAACATCAACTTTTCCATGAACAGAGTCTAACTTCCTTGAGCTCCCAGCATTTCTCGGAAGTGGAGTGATGGATATACTGGGTTGTTGTGGAAGTCTTGATGTACCAGAACCTCTGGAGTCCTTCACAGTCTGACAAAAAAGCAGAAACTTCAGGTAATAAATTGCAAAAAAAACACAAAGTAGCATCACATTAGTATTTATCTCTAATTGGTTCTGAATTAACATGCAGGAAATCAGACCCACAAGAGGAAAACTCCAAACCAGAGAAAACCAAAATGGGAACTCAGAAGAGGAATTGCATTATGTTCACACTGCTCTTCCCAAGATGATTGATTCAAGTACTAGAACTCAAAAATGATTAGGGCAGCATGAAGCAAAACTATACCTGAATTGTCAGAGAAGATGGAAGAGTTGCAGGAAGATTTGTTCGGCTGGGAGCAGCTTTGGCTGGAGGCCGAGCAGCTGAAGGCATGAGGGTCACTGATGGAGTAGGTGTGATCTTCAAGTTACTTGTGCTTGAAGAGCTGGTGATTCCAGCATTACTGGGAATCAATGCCAACCTTGGAGTACTTGAAATGGGTACCATCTGGCCACCCACCATCTGTAAAGGTCAGCAGTACAAAACCAGACTTGCTCAGTTTTAGCTCAGGGTTCTTCATGACAGCTTTATACTAAAGGCATTGATGAAGCAACTGATCAACTTCTCCCAAACCAAGCTTTGGAAAAGGTCAGGTACTTGAAAGTTTTACTCTTTCTACTGAAAAGTGTAGACCTATTCTCATACATGTCATGGATGAATGATCTCTTCAAACCCTAGTGACAATGGTACATCAAGTAGCAAACTCTTGGGGGGGATTCAATTGACAATTCCAGAACAGGTTTCAATTGGCTATAAGTAAAAAAGTGATTATGCTTTCAAGGAAGTACATAATGAAAAAAAAAATTGTTTACCCTTTTATTTTGCAAAAATTATTTTAAAAATATTTATTTATAAAATTACACCTGGGGAAAAGTCTGAGAGTCCACTTAGTTATCCTTAACCATGCAAAATTGTAAGATTTTTCTTCCCAACCATGAAAGTATGATTTGTTGTGAGATTTCACATGCCAGAGATAAAAATAACTTCAAGATGTTATATGGTTTTAGGTCAAATGACAAGAGAACAGAGCAGGCAGCATATGAGAACTTTGTGGGAGGGGATATCCACCATGATGCAAGGCAGAGACCAGTTTTTTAACATTTGGAATCGAGGGATATATATGAAAGCTGACAATTTCAAGGTAAATTCCTCTTTCATACATGCAATGTAACTAAAATTCCTACCTGAAATAGATGAGGAGAAGTTCCACTTGGCAAGGGATAAGAACTGGGCAAGGGACCAAAGGGTGATCCTGGTGGAAGTACAAGTGGAGGTTGAGTCATGGAGGGGCGAGAATACAAAAATCCAGAAGGTGTTGAAATGAGAGCTGCAAAATGGGAAGAAACCGACAAATGAAGAAATTCACTTAAGGCACTTGTATCGCCATGATTGAGCATGGATGTACATACACATTTTCCCTTGAGGTAGCAGAGGTCTGGGAGGGATTGTAGCAATAATGGGACCACTTCTGGGTCTTCCTCTTTGTGAACTTGCAGCAGCAATCATAGCATTAGCTGCCTGAGCTTGTGCTTTGGGGACCAGGGGGTGAAATCTTGAAGCAGAAGCTCCTCCAAAAGGACCCATTCTGTCTGGAGCAAAATGCGGACCAAGTAAACTTGGTCTGCCACGTGAGGCAATTCGAGAAATTTTGGCAGGAGGCTCCCAATCCAAGGGTGGGCACAAGTTGGCGCTTGGCTTAAATCTCTTTTCACAAGCAAGGATATGTCTCTTGAACTTTGTTTTGTTCCCATCTTCCCATGGACAAAATGGACACTGATGTGGGAAGAGGCCCCGTTCCAGCCTGGCTCTCACATTATGCTCAGCTTCTACATGAAAAATTACCTCAGGAGGTGATCTGGTTTCATAAGGGCAAAAATTGCACTTGTAGGTGTAGTTCAACATGTGTGGCACCTCCATATGATGAGCCATCACCACTGCTGAATCAGTTCGGAACGAGCAAAACTTACACTTCTCAAAAGAGAAATGGAATGCAATATTCTGCCCTTTGGTGTCTTTCACATTGTGGGACAAATTTTTTATGCTCTCCAAGAGTTCCATAGATGCTGCTTTTCCCTGTTTATCAGCTTTCCTTTTCTGCATTTTCAAGAGATCATGTTGAACATATTCCTGCACAAGTTTCTCTCCAAGACCAAAGAGGAACATCCCTACAGGGAGTGTGAAGAAATGCTCTTCCTTCAAACCCTTCTTCCAGGCATCTTGATCACTTTCACTGGCTTTACTGGAAAGATCAGAAGTGCTTTCAGCCTTTTTCTTTTCCACTTGTACTTTTGCTTCATCCAGGGCTTTAGCTTGGGGTTCTGGTTTCTCCAGCTTCAGTTCCTCTCTCAATTTCTTGACAAAATCAACAAGGCCTGCCTTGCAAGGCTTCTCATATATATATGGAACTACAAATGATGGAGCTTCAACAACAAATGACTCATCGTCCAGATGCTGTTGATCAGAGAGTATTTTTGGAGCAGATGATTGAATAAGAAAATTCATATCATCAGAAGGAACTTTCCCTGACACCTTATTCAGGGGAACAGGACCTCTTCCAGCAATAATGGCACTGGTGTCAACAACTACCATTGAGGCTGTCGAAGAAGGGGTGGTTGATTTAGCTTTGTCATTTGAGATGTCAGAATCCATGCTCACACTTTGATCCACACCCGAGAGGTCCTCATCTGAGGAATCTGATTCATTAGTTTCAATTTTGTCATCATCCATTTCAACATCACTTCCGTCCCTGGGAGTTGCATCACTTTTGCATGTGTCACCAAGAGGATCATCACCCAATGGATCTTGACTGTCACTGTCTTCCATATCAGAAAGGTCTCTCTGGATATCCTCCTGATCTGGGTTTTCATCATCTGAACACCTCTCCTCAACATCACCATTCACTTTGTCAACTTGACCATTGATAGAAGCATCCTCTGTGAGTTCTGTGTCAGAGCTCTGTAAGACACTGTTCTCATCTTGCTCCATTTCTTCACCAATCACAGATTCTTTTTCTTTGCACACACCACTTGTTTCTATTACAAATTCTTCATCTTCCTTAGAGTCTTCATCTACATCTTCACTGCTATCAGAGTCCCTACACTCTGACTTTGTTGACCCATTCAATGGATCACAACTACCATCACTGCCCTGAGGTTCTTCTGTTTCCTCCATCCTACTTGTGGCTCCAGTATCACTGAATGTCTTTTTCAAATCACTGCCTACCACTTCATTACCACTGATGGCTTCATTATTCCCTGCTCCATGGTTTCTCATACCATTGCAATTTGCCATAATGGGGCTAGCACTATCAGGAAGGATGACTTTCTCTGACACCAGAGCCCCACGTGAGCTAATTTTCATAATTGTCCAAATAATCTAAAAGAAATACCACAAATGATTCTGACATCAGTACATACACTCATGGCTGCAAGTCCCTTGAACCCATCATTCAGAAATCTTTCAAGAAAACAGATAGGGAATCTCAAGAAAAAATTCTACCAGTCATATTAACTAAAATCCCAAATATGTAAATGACTAAGAATACAAGTAAAATTATTCTAAAGTACCTGTACCACAACAATTAATCATGAGGCACATGACCACTTTTTGCTCCAATAAGAGCCTGACTAAAGTATGACTATTGAGCTAGCACAAGTCATAAAATTGCCAATGCAGGTGACACTCCCAATGAAGCACAACTAATACTGAATGAGATGAAATAAAGTACTTATGAAAAATACTTGCTATCCCAAATTCCTTCTCATAAGATAAACTATAATTGGGATTGTAACCTGTATGCCTCACAATAACACTAGACAATGTACTTTCCATAAATTTCAATGTATGAAGCGTCATTCAACTGACAGTGCAACCAAGTTGCTGAGATGTGGACCTATTTTAAGTTAGTTCACTTTATAATGATAATGGGCCAGTTACTAAGACAGGAGGTAATGATTGCAAGATATAACCTAAAAGCTGCCACCATACCATCATGATTTGTAGGATAAAAAATAGCTTAAACAGTGAAAGATGGCTCAGAAAAAATAGTGACCAAGCCAGCTTTTGGATGTTAACGTCACCAGATGTATCACTCAGGGTTCACATTAGCTTGCTATAGCAAGTCCCTGACTCATATTTGCAAAACATCTAAGTCTATGGGACTCATAGACAACCACCTGAACATGTTCCCACTGTGCTGAAGCTAGGCACCAGGACTCAAGACTTAAAAAAGCTAATGTGAACCCTGTCACTGGTCTACCACAGGATTAGCTATTGTGGCATTAGAAATTTGCCTGAGACAAATTATGTCAGTGGTAGAAGCAGCAACCATCCTAGCATACACGTGCAAAATGAATCCAGCTTCTCCAGTCATAACCCGCAACTTCACATTTCTTATTTATCTTGACTGCAGCAGTAATCCAGTGCCTTTCAAAGATTTCAAGTTTCAGCACTATGTGCCTAAACTTGAAATTGATGAGATTTTAATAGGTAATGCTGACAAATTCAAAGTGACAGTTAAGAGGGATGTGCTAAGAATTGATCTATTTGTACAAAAGATGGATTAATTAGATTCTTTGAATAATTACAAGCATGAATTGGATAAATTATATAATAATCATTGCAGAAATACAATTGATTGACATTAAACTCCTTAGGGAAACCATGCTATCCCCCCAGCCCACACTTCACAACAAAACAATAACTTTTTTTATTTACAGAAAAAGGTAAATCTCATGGTTCACCCCTTTGGAGTTCATGCAAACCCAAACAAGCAAAAAATTTCCAGTCATTGCAAGGGACGATGAAACTGATTAACTTTCCTGCAGGATATCTAATCTTATCAACTAACACTATTTCCTTGTTGTTGAAGTGAATAATGATTCATACCAATCTCCCTTCTCCCACCACTTCCCTTCAAATGGCTGTATTTACATCCTATCCATAATACATTCCATGGCCTGTGGAAGAGATAATTGTGACTGAATAAAAAAAAAGTTGCAACTCCCAAAAAAGGCAACTTCAGTCTCGTGAATACAAGTGAACAAAAGATTATGAAAATGTACTACTTTACAATTTGTACTGTACTTGTACTGCATGTAAACATTTAATGTCACATTTCTATTACAAGGCTAACTGATTACTTTCCCTAAAATGCTGTTCCTCTCAAGGAACATGACAAGTAATAATATAAATTGCAAACTATTTTCACCATTTCCCATTTACGCAGACTTCGCAGAAACATCCCTGGGAAACAAGAATCGCGACAGACGTTGCTCCAAGTAGTTTATAATTTTAGTTGATCAACCACGAGCACTTATTTGACCTTCATACTTTTGATACCAGATGTCTCGGTTAAGAGTACAGCTGAGCTCTCGACCTAGGAATGGAGCTGTCATGGTTGCCAAAACGTTAAGGTGATAACACTCACAGCTTAAAAGATTCGCGCTAACTAAGCAGGTGACACACTCGAAAACTGAGTTCATTAGAGCATAAGGACACCGTATACCGACGAACACGAAGTGGCTGCGAGACGGACGTTAATCGGGTCACTATCCGACGGAGCACGTTATTTGGCAACCCTGCAAGCTAGGGCTAGACTAGACTCGCTGCAGGAATCCCTATGCCGGGCGAGAGCTAGCCTAGCGCTAATTCTTCCATGCAATTTTGAAATACCAGCCAAGTAGGCCTAGTTTCTGCCGCGCCATCTAGCAGACGAGCAAAAATGATAGCTACATAAACGGCCTAGCTAGAAGTTAAACAGCTGTTCGAAACCGCCATGAACAAATCATTGCACAGACCATGCACACACATACTCACCCTCACAGCCATTCACACTCGCTAGTTCACCAACCAGGCAAGTATGGCGTCCGCAGATCACGTGACTATGAACGGTGATGACGTCACAAAATTGGTATCTGCCAGGAACCATACTACAACTTAGCTCCATGAATATGCACCTACACTCCCTTAAGGTCGATTTTTGTACGCACTATTCTCTCGCGAAAAACGCGCACAAAAACTGATAAAATATTCTGGAAGTATAGTGCACGTGTTACCGCAACGAGATGGTTCCACCCGCAGTTTGCAATGCAATATTTTTATATTTTCAAAACATGTCAAATTGTTCAAAGTTCCTTGGAGATATGATGGATGGATGTATCTCGCGCGCTTTCTGACAAGCAGGATGGGGGAAAAGGAACATCACAAGAATAGTGCCAACCTTTCGTGAAGTTGAGATTAAAATGCGCAGTCATTCCAGGAACTGGAAAATGACGCATACTTGGCTTTGGAAGCTAAACAAGAAACGACTAAAATATTGAAATGATCGAGTTTTTGCGCGCAAACTACTTGATGTGAACTACGGTGGTCCTCGTATATAAACTTTTTTCACTTTTATATTCCGAAGAACAACGGAATATAAAAATGAGAAGGAAGTGACACGACAGTTATACTGCAGTCGCGATTCAACAAAACGGCAAATCTAAACCGAGAAACCTGAACCATGGGCTACCCCTTCCAACTCCGATTCCAAATGATGTCGAAGGCTTTCCATTTAATTCGCCGCTGCGCATTACAAAGCGTACGCTAGTACAAGAGGCACGAAACCACGATGATTCGCAAACGACTTACAGTATATAACACAAAAACACATGGCAAGAAATACCGGCGAAGGCAATTACTAAAGCCCGGTTGAGCAAGTTAAATGGGAACAGTAGTCCTTTCGAAAAAGGCAGTCCACTGAGCACACAGCCTTTAGGTTTCTCGCAATGCGAGGGTGAGCAGGCAAACGAAGGAAGAGATGTGAGTGAGTGAGAAATGTGAGGGAGAGAGGGGGGTCGGAGAGGGAGTGAGCGAGCGAGAGAGAGAGAGCTGTAACAGGGGGTCATAGTAGGAGAGGGAGAGAGAGAGAGAGAGAGAGAGAGTAGAAGTAGAGAGAGCATAAGGCTAGCGAGAGACAAGAGAGCGAGAGAGAGAGAGAGGGGGGCACAGTGAGCAGAGAGCAGGGGTAGGGAGGCATGGGAGAGCGAGAGCGTGAGAGGGGGGATGGGGACGGAGGCATGGGAGAGAAAACCAAAAGAAATATCGGCGTGGCGGAGAGCGAGGTTGGTGAGTGAACGCATGTGAAATGCATGTGAGACTACAGCGCACCATTATTTGCGACTTGATAAAGAATCCAAGAAAAGACACGACCCAATGAGAGAAAGGGTTCAACCATACAACTTGCGGAACTTCGGAAACATGGGTTCCCGAATCACCTCGTACAGCGGTCATTATGCGATCGTAGTCTCTATGGAGAAGAAACATTCTCCAGAAGCTGTTCAATCTCTATCAGCTTCCGACTGACATTCAATAAACTTCAAAACAAGGGAGGAGGGATTCAATCGATCCGAGAAGGACCCCGCATATTCATACAATCTCCGAGGAATACCATCATGTGTTCAGTGTGCATATTTTGCAAGCCGAAGACTCCATACCTAATCGATATGGGAAGGAAGAAAAAAAAAAAAGAAATACAGAGTAGTTTCAGCTATAGAGCAGAATGTGACATTCGGCACGACAGAGTGAAACATCAGAACCTGGACATTGATTTTCTGTAACATAAGCTAAATGCGATCTTGAGGGAAATGTAGATACCTGTTATCCTACCATCGATTGCATGGGGGGGGGGGGGAACTAGATCAAGTTAGCGCTGAAAATCCGGAAGCTGGGAATCTAGGTCTACCATGAACTGAGAAAATGGGACGACCCAAAATATCCCTTAATGGTGAGTGGAATGATAACGGGTCAAATGGAGCTTTGTATTTTCGATATGAAAAAAGGCACGGCCTTCGGGAGTATTCCACTTACCACGGTCGATAATTTCACTGCTGAAACAGCCTTTCAAATATCCAGCACCGTAAGGCTCACGCGCCCGAAGCCGTTCCAAATGAATGTCGTCCTAATGGCCCAGCAACGAACTGTGACGTCACGCATGCAGTGGCGTCATCATCCCGACTACATGCAAGAGTGGGGGGGGGGGGGGATTTCAGTGGCGGGCCGCTCCGTCACGTCGATCCAGTTCTTCAAGCCAGCACTGGTTTAAAATATCACAGCCCTTCCAGGATAACTGGAAATTAATACAATTCCATCATTTTATTGGACACGAAGCGAAATGAACAAGCACGCAAAACAATCAAACCGTCACGCAGAACTTTGCCCATGCCCATCGTTACTGACACGGGAAAAACAGCAAATGAAAACTTGCTTGGACGCGTTCAATCGTCGTCGTCGTCGTCTTGAAAGGAAAGGAGCCTCGCATTCTTGGTCTTGCGCTTTTCCGAGGCATCCTTCGCGCGCTTTTTATCGCGCCCCGAATCACCCTCTCCTGTACTGCAATCCTCGTCCTTATCTTTCTTGGATGATGAGATCGTATTGAGTACTTCAGACTTCCGCTTTTCAGGCTTCTTAAACACAATCCGAGCAGGTTCGACGGCATCTCCACCTGAGCGAAAAATCACATCCCGGGGGATGGCGGACGTATATCCTCCCTGCCGTTTTACGGGACGGCCGAATCTGCCCCACACCAATCGCAATCTTATGGCTTTCTCTGCGTGACATCAAGCAACCGCATACCCAGCTTTTTTTCTCATACGGAGAACCTTCAAGTTCATGCGGGCGGAAATAAATGGCTCAGATAATATTATTGCGTCTCAAGCACGGACGTAACTCGAAGAAGCGAAGGTTACCACTCATCCAAGTCTTAGGAACCTTAAGAAAACCTCAAGAGCTTCTGAAAACCACCTAAAACCACCTGATAGATGTGTAAAGGATGGAACTGTCTAAATGTAGGAATTCATAGTCAGGTCAGATGAATGAATTTTAAAATGCCCCCCAAAAAACAATATCAAATTATACCAGGAGTTCCTGTGTGGGCTTAGTGAAGTAACAGCAATTCTCAGTAAGAGCAAAATCTGCATTCCACATAGCAATGCAGTTGTCAAATTGATTCTATGCCACTCGCACTAACTTTCAATAATCTTCATTCTTTGTCCCTCATTCAAAATTGCATTATGTCCACTTGAATTTCACTCCTTTACAACTGAAATTTGGCAACATGAGTGCAAACTCAAACCTAACGTACAGTATCATAATCAACGTCCATAAAATTTTAACAGTTCAGAGGTTTGAAAAAGCTACTCATACAACTTACTGTACCATGAGCAATAACCCCCAATATCCAGCCATACGGAAAAATCAGTGGAAGTACAACCCAAACTAAACTTTATAATCACTTCCACTAAAGTATAATGACAGTTCAGATCTTTTGCACACTTTCAGCAAGTCATTCAGACTCCAGATTTTTCTTCACACTAATGATTAATGCCATTGACTAATGAAATTCAATAGCACCCATGCTACATATCAGGGAACACTATTACACCCTAACTTTTAATTCACAGAGTGGGATCAGATGGTGAATAGAAATTATGAACTGGCAGAGGAAAATCTTGAATTTGGACTGTTGCTCAACAAAGAAAGAAAAATGAGTGCTTCTCAGAGCAATAGCTCAAGGAAAGACAAGGCATGGTGGCAAAATTGGTTGAATACTGTCTGGCCAGCAGGGCAAGTCTATGCTCACAGACAGTGGGTTTTCTTACATATGGCCTTATACATTGACTCATATTGCTAGCAGGATTTAGCTGAAATGTCAGCTGATTGCTTGAAGCTCACAGTGATCCTTATTCTGATGTTTTGAACATGATCTATGAATTTTCAGTTCAGGTTGCCCTTGAGAGGCAATGTAAAAAGTACTCAAGATAAGAAGTCCCCAGGTAAGCTACTTTCATACCAGGGCTTACTATTTCACACAATCTGACTCAAAGAGACCACATGAAGGATAAACTTCCTATCATCACATCGTACAATGCCATGGTGTTACCTAGTATATACATCACCAGCTGACAGAGAACTCTTAAAACTGAATAAATATCCTTGCAACTATTCTTGTATTTTTGCCTTTACTTTTATATATACATATGTATATAATTTAAACTGATTCATTTCCAAGATGAAGGAATCTGTACACCTGACAATCATAATGCAATAAAAATAATAACAGTAATTAATCATTTCCATGTATGCAAGTTTCCAAACTTCAACTTCTGATTCCAAAAAAAAAAGTCAATTGGCTCTCTGCTGTCTTATGTGCCACTGAGGGACATGACATGGAATCTTGCTGGATCATTGATAAGGTTTATTTCTTCTCAGAAACTGATAGCTCAATCCAGCAATGTGTCATATCTGGAAATAACTGAGCAACTGTCATTTCAATTTATAGGCCTACATTACATAAACATGTGACAAGATGTAAACCAAATAAAATAAACATGAAATAATAGTGAATCCCACTAATGAAACATGGAATCTTGCTGCAATATGGTCAAACAGACTCTAATACTCCCACGACAAGTTTCTGAATCATGAAATGGGTTAATGTATGTTAATTTCATGTCCTCATAAATGAAGTAATTCACCCATTTTAAAAATTGCCAATAACCATGGAGCTAATTCTGAATTATTTGCCCCATGCACAATGCCTCCTCATTTAATGGCTACCTATATGAGCCAAGTTGCAACTTGGATGAGACATTCAATCAGCATATCTCCAGTCAAGCCTACCTTTCTCCTCTTCCTTTTCTTCAACTTTCAGGCCCTCTACCTCTTCCTTTGATAGATCACCAGGCTTCAAAACAACAATTTGAGGTTGCTCATCTTCCTTATCCTCAGCTGCTTGATCAAGTGCAGCTTCCAAGGCTTGCCTCTAATGGAAGAATGTTAGGTTCACAGCATGTATGGAAATGTGCAGCAGACAAGTGTTCAAGCAGCACAGCTAGACCAGCTATGACTATATGGATCCCATGGTAGTTTCACAGGTAGTTTCACTTTAAGTCAATACTGTATCTATTGCTTCACATTTTTGGATTCAAGGAGTTAAATTATGTCCCATGCACCTACCCACCATGATTCAGTCTCATCTGAGAGGTTTAGAAAGGCATAACACATGATTCTCCATAGGAAACAGTTTACAAAGATGACCTTGAAACTGCCATGAGGAATTACTCAATTACTGATAGAGTGGTTCCTTTCACATTCATACCACATGCATTGTGGTTCAAGGTTCAAGCATGGGCATCAAGAGGCACTTCTGCTAATATGATGTCCTGTGTCAATGTTCAGAATCCACTCATAGTAGGATAGGCTTACCCCTCTTAAAGACATACATTTCTGCAGAAGTATATCCACTTACTGCCTCTTCACTACATTGCTCACTTCTTTAAATGTTTCCCTGATTATCAAAAAGTAATAATGTTAAATGTCAAATGGAGCCACCCTCCACATTCCTATACCTCTGCCAATGCTAAATAGGAGTTGTTTAAATGAAATACATATGAATGAGTTCTAGGCATAGGTGAATGCAATTCATATTCTTCTGCAACCTGTTTTTTAGTAACAGTTTTCTCAGTTGCAATCATACAGTCGAAACCATTTCTTCAAACTTAGGCTTTAATTACTCATACTTCCCCAACATAGGTTCTTAAGAACAATGTCTACTTCTCTCACCCTCTTAGGCTAATGGCAAGGGTAAAGATCCACTTTTTCTTTGAGCATAGCTCATGTGGAGAGAGAAAGTTCTACAAAATGGGGACCAATGATAGATAGAGCTATGACAGAGGGATCGAAAGAGCAGCTCCAGTTAGTGAAGACTGGCCAATAAGAATAGTCATTAGTGATAATTTAAATATGCTTAACATTAGCAAAAGACTACTAGCTAACATATCCAATGATGTGGTCAGTCTCACCTTCATTCATCCTTTCCAACCCAACATTATTCACTATACTTTTAACTTTATGCCTGGATATAATTTATATTTTTTTCCAGTTGGACAAGGCTTCCATGCATGCCCTAGAAATATGCTCACAACAGGTCCACAGCCCTCATTTATTGATCTATGGCGATTGACTTTAAAGGCACATTCTGATCACAGACCAAATAGACTTATTACATACCTAATGCTGCTAAGTTAGTGCATTTGGCCATACACCATGCTCATAAGCTTTCGCTGGTCTGTCAGACCATAAGCTTGGCCTAAGCTTAGGGCTAAGGTGTGTGTGATGAAATGAAAATTTAAAATCTAGGGCGTTGTCAAGGTCCCAGACCTGCCACTATAAGCTGCAGCTGTAAGACTAATGGGCCTACATGAGAATCACTAGACTCACTTTCGTATTTATATCGGGTCCTTCCTTGTAACCAGATTTCTCCTTGAACTTCTTGAGAAATTCTGGCTCAGGCGGCTTCACAAATGCGACATTTCTTTTAGCCATTTCAATTCACTCCGTCAATGTATTCAAAAACTCATGACCTTCCGTCAGTTTGTAGCCACTAGGCTACCGGTAGAGGCACATTTTTGGCGTACCTGCCTGCTTCACATCACACACAGAATAACTTAAGTTGGGATCGCAGTCCACCAAGTCAAACCCTGGTAAACTGGCGCCTGCGATGCTAGACGGTCCGAGGAGCACCTGACATCTAGCGACGGACAAGTGCACCAACTCGAAGCAAAACGCAGTTACATGAAGAAAGCAGATAAACAGGACGATGCATATTTTTGTACCTGTTATTTCAGCTGTCAATAAACATAATTTAACCTTCTTGGATTCTCAAGAACGCAGTACGACCTAAACTACTTCCAACATGTAGGGGAAAAAAACGTGAAACATGAATGGTGACAAAGTCTGCGAGATCCGCTATCACGTTTGTTCTACGGGCTCTGAGAGATTTGCGTCAGTCATTTCCTTGCTATCACTGTACGTACAGAATCAATTGAATCCGGCCCAACACCCCCTCCCCAACGAGTTTTCTTCCTTTGGGGAGCTCAAGCATACTCCCGGCATAAATCGATCAATATTGATTTCACATAGTTGGCGCAGGCGTGCAGGAGGAGTCTCGACAATCAAACGAGATTACGTTCAACATTCAAACGCCCAAGAACAATACAAAGAAAGACATCGGTTCGCCATCGATTCTCGACCGCAGTACTCTTTCTCTCTGTTGGGGAAGCCTCATTTTCTTTCATTTACAGTCAACTCTCGTTTTTATCGCCGACCTTTTCCTGCGGACAAATCTCCCCTTGAGCGTGTGATACGGAAAGATTCGATAATTAATTCGATAAAGCGCCACCCTCGTCACGGCGCCATGATCGACGATGACCGGCAGTGGTGCCATATCGAGGATTGACAGTACTTCGACCTTTGCCCGCTCAGATTATGCGGCCGACCCGGATCGGAGCGCATAACGCTAACCACATGCCCAAGCAATATTGGGGGGAATGCACCATAGCCATCCAATGGCATACCCACCATGGGGGGGGGGGGGGGGGGGGGGGGGGCCTCCCCCCCCCCCCCCCCCCTCCCCCCCCCNGAGGGGGGGGGGGGGGGGGGGGGGGGGGGGGGGGGGGGGGTGAGCCTTCCCTCCCCATCAGCCTCTCTTGACCCCATAAAAGAGCGCGAACGAGACTTGCATTCGAGCGAAGCTACCCCGAGCCACATCATGTGCATTCCTTTGGCATTCGGCTGAAACAATTGGGAAATCAACCTATTTTGGGAAACAATGGGTCAATTGATTTACGTACTTTTATCAGCAAGGCTCCTCTTACAACCACTTTGACCCACCGAGAACTTCTTCGCCTCCCCTACCGTTAAACACCTGACTACGCCCCTGACTAAATCCTTTTCACTCGAAAGTTTTTAAGCTAATCTCATCTGATGATGGGCATCGATTTCCCCAGATCCGACGGGCTGTGGCCCGAGCAGGGCTGAACTCTTGTTTCCCCGGGTCAATCGTGCATTCTTGAACGTCTACGAAAATACGGTTCGGTCTTAAGGTAAGATAAGATAAGAATCGAGCTGACAGTTTTGCACGTCCTGAGCTCCTTAACAAAGTCGTTTCGAGTTCGGTGGAGACGCTTAAAATTCGGTTTCGAAAAGGTATCGACTGGCAATTAAGCAGCAGAAACGGGTCCAGATGTGTGACTCGAATGCGAATGACTCGAACGACTCCCGACTTCGATCTCTTTAATTGTTTCCGAAGAATGGATTGAATTCCGTTATCCCGTCAGCCCGAGGCGAGGTAGACCGGACGCGGTCGCAAATCGGACTGAGGAATTCCTGTCGGACGAGGCGGGATGAAAGCGACCGACGATGGAATTTGTCTAAGTGGCGAAGGAGAATCTCGTCTGTCGGGATGCGCCACCCTCGACACGGGGTGAAGCGATATCGCCGGACGACAGGCGAACACTGACGACCTCTCCCTAGAACGCACGAAGGAGCGTGGAGAGTCTCTCTCTCTCTCCTAGGCCCCGTGCATGCCCGCGAGAGCGGGTGGAGGTCGCTTCGCTTTTTCGGCGTGGCCGGGATTCGGTCGGGCGACTGGATTCGCCTTCCTTCGCTTCTGAAGATCTGGGATTGAAAAATTCCCGTGTTACGGCATTCCACCGACTTCGTGTTGAAACAAAAAGTCCCGACTCAGAAACGACGGAAGAGATACACCACGATACAACCACGGTGGACGAGATCCACGTCACGACCGCATTCGACGAGGCGATAACATCACGCCTCTCGTTACCGAAAGGAGCCACACCACAGGGCTTCCCCCATTGTGTCCGTTAACGAGCTTCCTGAGGGACCCAAAGGTTCCGACTCTATTTCGCCTCGGACTTCTCAGGGCGCTCCGTCGAAATTCACGCGGGGGCATCTGGAAGGCAGCCAATCTGCTTTCCAGCTATGCACCGAAGACGTCTGCCAGTGCGTAGAGAGACTCGACGTCAAGCGACTGTCATTTTTTTCCCCCTTTCCTTCTGTGGAAACTGAAACGAGGCGAGTCGTCGCAAATTGTTCGGTTCTTCCGTTTCCGTGATGGAATTAGATCTTCGAATGCTCTGGCAGAAAGTGTAAGCGAGTCATATCATTCGATGGAAGGAAGAAAACGGGGAAAAGAGGATCCAAATTTTTTTCTTTAAATGAGATTAAAATCTGAAAGCATTCTCAGTTTCCGCAAAGTACTTTCTCGGGATGAACCAGTCCCGTGCCATACGCTACATGTTGCATGAGGTCACTATTTGAATTTGTAAGCTTGGAACTCGCGAAGAAATAGCTTGAAACGATTAAAAAAAGGTGTGATGGAATTTTCTCAGGGTTGAAATTCTAACCGAAACTGATTTCTGTCAGCATTGAAATTAATAAGGGGATCAATGATGACGTAAGCATTTACCCTTATTTCAAAATCAAATTTGGCGTCATCGCTGACACGTTGATCTGCTTTTTAGATTTATTATTATTATTATAGAATAGCTTGGTGCTATCCATGGAAACAATTTCGCTACGCATAAGTGTGGGGGGCAGTGCTTTACAGTACCATGCTTTAAAGAAGGGGGGAGTAGGATGAGGAATTTGATGGTGGTTGATGGGAGGTGGAAGGAGAAAAAGTGCAAATTCTGCTCCAGTAGTACTTGAAATGACCTCTAAAATCTGTCAGGAACCAATAGGGATACTAAAATCTTGCCGAAGGCAACAAACTTACGGTGACCAGGCGTCCCGATTTAGGCGGGACAGTCCCACTTTCAGATCACATGTCCCGGTGTCCCCCGATGAAGTAAGCGGGACGCCCAACTGTCCCGCTTTAGGAAAATTTCGATGACAGAATGATACGACGGTTGAATTTCTTGCCTTGCGAGTTTCAGATATTGCTCAGAAACATATCGCTTAGGAGCTAAACCAAGAATATTATGGAATATCATGATTATGAATAGCATATCCATGGCAACTGCTTAAATATAAATTGGCAATGGGAATTCGGATTACCGAACAGCTGAGCCTAAAAACATGCTAGTTCTTGTTAGCAGGCACCTGCTCGTGCGCACTGCAGACGGCGAGGCCGGCCTTACTGCCATCATTTGCCATCTTCTCTCACTGCCATCGTTTACTTTCATATTGCATGAACAAAGTGATACCCTTATATCTCGTAGTTGTCTCTGAGTCGGGGGAAGCCTCCAGGCTCTGACTTCCCGTCCGCGATTCCGGAGACAGGAGTCAACTTTCAGAGACTGGGCTCGACTCGTTTGGCGTCGATTGAGAATGAATTTAATGGTTCTCAGGGATTTCTTTCAGATATTTGATATCTTAATAGATGTTTTCAAATTGCATGGGAAAGTGACTCCTGAGAATTTTTGAGGAGGCCGGACCCTTGCCAAAAATGTGCCAAAACCCCCGCTTGTTGCAATAAAGTGAAAATGTCACGGAAGCGTTTTGCCCATGTGACGCTGCTAACATTTTTTCTGAAAACGGAAGGACCACGACTCGGATGAAAGTAATGAACAACGTACGGGTTAACGAATTTCCAGTCGCATGCCTGCGTAGTAAAATCTGGGCTGAATCCCGAAATTAACTCTGTTCATCTTTAGCTTTGTTTCAAATATCGAATGCGCTTGTATTATTTATTGTTTAAATTGTTTCCACCATTTCATGACATTTTTTCATTTCATTTTCTATGTTCGTGTGTTCCACGTCGTTTCGCATTTTCCTCTTCTGGTGATTTGGAAAGACAAGTTATACGAACTTTCCCGAAACCCCCTCTTTAGGGCTGGTTACGCTACTGTGGATGCACAATTAAATAACAGCTCTATTTCATGTTTGGCAATAATAAATACAATTGTCAGTCCAACATATGCATTCATATTCTTTTCCGAGAGGCAAGGGGAAGTATTCATTGGGCGTCCCACTTTCGCAACACAGAAATCTGGTCACCTTAAACAAACTACAATTGAGAATAAGGCCAGCTTTATTCAAGAAATGATACATAAAACTAAAATGTAACGCATTGTAGTCCTTAGCACTACTTGCATAGAACAAGCTGATATGGAACGAGGGCAGTCATGAACACCCTCAGGTGACATCGAAACTCAGACTTCCATTACTTGCGTATTTTATGCTTTGAAGTTATTGCCCCTAAGATTTTCGTGTTGAGACGGAGTACCAAGAGGCTGTGAGAAGTTCCCGAAGTGGGTATTTCCTTCCCACAAAAAAAGGGCAGGAAATGACCATATGACTCAGGAAAAAAATAATAGTTAGGGTATGCCGAGTTATATGTTGCATGTGACACTTCCACCTTGTTTCCCCATGCCCTAACTGGGTTAAGCATCGGCTATTGGTTCGTCTAGTGACCGAGAACGGCTAGGTCTACATCATGTGCATTTAAGATCGGAATGAATCAAGTCTTTAGTCTTATTCTTTTCATGGTGGTGGGGCTCCAATGAATTGCTGAGAGGTTGGCTGAACAAGGAAAGAGTGAGTTGACTTTAGCTGGCATCCACAAAAATTATGCTTGATGATCACTGATTGATGCAGGGCTATGGAAACCCACTTTATTTGCATAGGAATCATCACAATATCAGCTCACTTCACCTCTGAAGAATTCAACATAAACTAATGGGGAATGCTGATATATATGGTTTGTATATATAAAAATCTATGCACAACCCTGCAAAAAAAACTTTTTCTCTCCCACATATGGACATTTGCTTTTGGGCTGCATTATAATTGTGGAATGATGGAATCCTGATAGTTTTGGTACACTGCTCAACATTGTCCAGGAAAAGTACCCACACAGTGGAGGAGAGAGAAATTCTTCTTACATGGGGCTATACATGACATAAAACAATCAGAGGGGTTTAAGAAGAATATGCTTTCATATAACCATTCCCAATAATATCATTGTTACTCTGTTCCCAATAAAATTAAATGACCATTGATGAATGGCAGGCATGAGCACCATTATACAAATCACATTTTTGATTTGCGACTGAAGAAGTCCATGATGGCCTGAGCACACTCTGGAGACTGCCATCTCTCCTTCAAAACGTCACATTCTGCTTTGTTTACTTCCTGAAGTGTTTCAAGTGACCACTTTCGAGATAGTTGCTTTGATTTCCACAAGCTCTGCAAAATATCATGTCAGGATGGCAAGTTAGACTCAGCAAGATACATTTAAAATGCAGCACCAATAAAACTGTGACAGACCTGCTTGGGGAGTGAAGCATAATTCTTCACAATTTGAGAAACCTCCTGATGGAAGGTCCCATGAGGAAAAACACGGGTCACCAAGCCCCAGTCGCAGGCCTCAGCCGCAGTGATACGGCGATTGAAGAGTAGCATTTCAGATGACTATAAGTACATGGAACAAGTCCTATTTCATCAACAGCCCTTTTTTCCTCACCATACAGACACAAAAAATGTCATCACTTTTGGGAATCCCATAACCCGTGGGAAGATGTAACTGCTACATCCTTCTGGTGACTGTCCCAAGATGCTGAATGGTGTGTAAAATGTTGCCTAGCAAAATAAGAGAAACAGGGTCAATAAAGATTCAAAGATGATGGAGTATCTAGAATGAGATAAAAGCATAGAAATAATAAATTGATAATATAACTTCCTCCAATTGACTCACTTTGTCAGAAGCATAAACAGCATCATACATGCCAAGGACAGTCACTGATATCCCAATAGCAGGGCCATTCACCATGGCAATCAAGGGCTTTGGGAAGCAAATAAATGCATTCACGAACTTCCTGGAAAAATACATGCCTCAAATTTGAGTAAAAGGTATTGCTGCCTCAAGACCATTTGATGTACAGTCTTGTTAATTTTTCTTTTCAATTAAAACAAGAGATAAATGCAATAAGAACTTGTGTCAATCATGTGCTGCAATACTGGAAGACCCTCATTAACCATTATGATTTCGAAGATAGGTCTGACAAAATTGACAATTCTGAATGGATCATCATCTGCATTTAGATTCATATCTTTGAACAACAGATAATCCAATAGCATTCCTGTAACACACACATAACATAATGAATAATATGCATATAACACTAAATCATGAGTGCCAGAATAATGTCTAATAGCTGGGTGATCAGAAGACTTTTGTTTGTTGATCATGCTTTTACCTACAGCAAAACTTTTCTTGCTTCCTCAGCAACTCCAGCAATGTTTGTAGGATCCACTTTGGTGAAGTTGCTTAGGTCATTGCCACTGCAGTAGTAGTCACCAGCACCAGTTGTGACAGTCACCACAACCTTTTCATCCTTGGCAGCTTTCTCAAGGGCATCTACAATCTCTCCATACATCTGCATAAACAGAAACATTTTAACCATCCTATCAAGGAAAGAGGTTTACAATGAAAAAACAGCTATGTAACATGTTCACTAGTAGCCAATGGCATATGCAAGGAACTCCCCCACCCCCTCCCTTGGCCTCTGGGAACCTTCCCAAGACTGGCATCAAGAGGCAGGCAAACTGGTGACAGGAAATACTATGGCTCCATATTCTCATCAAGTCCCTCCCTAGATTGGCTGCAGCCCAGGGTAACCATGAGTACATTTATGCCTTGATAAAATCCTTCCAGGTCAAAAGCTTGAAGTACTGGCTTTATTTCTTTTTTCTGGAGATGCTACAACTAAGAAACTAGTCACACAAGCAAATATTTTACTTCACCTTTGCCATTAACATTAGTCTGCTTAAAATTAAATAAAAAGTCCAATTTAGCTATAGAGTAATTTCAAAGCAAAGTGGGTTGATAATAATAATAAACTAAAATTAAAAAGTCTTTGGCATTAACAAGGTACTGGCAGCTGGTAGAATACCTCATAGGTAAGAGCATTCATTTTTGTTGGCCTGTTAAACTTGATCATATTTAGGCCCTCCACTGTGGAAACTTCAATGCACTTGTAGTCCCCAGCTGCACTGCCTGGCTCAGGTCCAGCAGAAGTTGATGAATACTGGTCCATCAAGGATTGTACAAATTGCACATACTGCTCCTGTGCTTCTTCCTGAAGATGAAGAAAAGGACTCAAAGCATTAAAAGTATTTTCCAATAAGAACATGTCACACTGACATGTAGTTGTTATGAGAAAAACATGCAGTGAAAAGGCAGGGAGGGAATGCTCGGTATTCCTTCGTCTTGTGCACACTGTCAAATCCTGTGAACACTGCACATAAACCTCAACTTCGTTATGTGCACACTATTTCCCGATGAGGAATGTACCTCTACAAACACGTTCAATGCGGAACGCGCAGCCCTGACGGCGATCAGGATGAACGTAAGGACTTGGTACGGTGGCCCTTGTTGCCCACGCGTAAGAGATACGATTGTCTCTACGATTGCCTTTTCTCTTCGAGTGTCAGCCTAAACCTCGGTACACCTGAACGTCTATGCCTTTGTCAGGATGCACGAGGGAAGTCTGTTCCCCCACTTATACTAGTTAACGAATTCAGGAGCCAACACTCAGCGGATAGAGGCACAGTGGGGAGCTCTTAAACAAAGAATATTGAAAAGGGGTCGTGGCACGAGGCTCGACATGCTCGCCAGCCACCTCGCAGAGGGTTGGTGGCGATCTCTGCATGCAAAAACGCCATTCCTGGACTTCTTGGGAGAAGTACACCGCCAATTCCCGCAGTGAATCTTCCACTTCTGCGTCAAAGCGCTTTGCTGTATTTTTCATTCCTGCATTCATGAATACATGTCATATTTCACATTGCTGCTCGTATATTCATATATTCATTTCTCATACCTGGACGGGAGTCACGGCAATACACAGTCCCTTCCTCCAAACTTCCTCAAAGGAAGCCCTCCAGAGCGCTAAGATTCGGCGTGTCTAAATGTACCTGCTCACCATTACGTCGGGCAGCGCGTTCCGCCGTGGGAGTCTGGTAGAACAGCACTCACTTCTAAAGTAACGGTCGTAGGTTGTAGTATGTACACCTACGACGCCTACAACTTACTTTAATCACCTCTAGCAATGTGCACGATTGGTGTGCACGGTACAAAACTAGGTGTGCACAAGACGAAGGTTGTGCAAACTAGGTGTGCACAAGACGAAGGAATACCGAATGCTCTGCCCTGAAAACAATGAGAGAAACCTCCAGGTACCTTAGTGAACAATTCATGTTTCCAGGAGATACCATAAAAGCATCAACATAAAATATGTACCTTAGAAATGTTGCCAAGAGCATTCCATGCATCCCATTTGACTCGACCAACCATGTCTAGCATTCCTGGTCTCTTGGTACTCACTGGACCAGCTGTCCCTTGCTTGAAAAGAGCATACAGCTTCAATTTAGCCTCATTACCTGGATCTTCTGGCAACTGCTGGACATCTTTTTGTGCCTTTTGAAATGCTTCAGTCATTGTAGCCATGGTCCGACTGAAGAGAAACAACATAAGAAAAGGGATTAGTTTCCTACTCATGCTTCATCCTTGGGTTCCAGGAACTCTGTTATAGAAAACTTCAACTTTTCCTCAATCAGAGTTTGGCCTCATTTCATAATTATCTCTGACATAGCTTCTGGAATTCAAGGATGAGGCATTGTGTACAACTGACAACATAAACCATAAACTGTTAAAGGTCTCTGTGTGGATGCGTGTTTAGTGACCCCTTTAGGAGTTAGCCAGAACCATCAGTTACCTTTGCATCTTCCTCTTTATATTATAAATCTGGACGGAAGTGAGTTCTTATGCTTTTATGAATCCTCCCAGAAGAATGGATGATTTAAGGCTGACTGCATATGTGACACCATTGTCTAGCTTCCATGATAGCATGCTGAAGGGCATGTTTGTTTTCAGTTTTCTGGAGCACTGTTTAAGTCTATACACTCCCTGCTTAATCTCAGAAAAAAAACTACAAATAGAATGTCTTTCCTGTCTCTTCCTTGAGAACCAAAAAGAAAAGGTGCTGAGTTACTTAATGCCAAATCTAAGTCAATAGCAAATTAAAAAATGCAAAAAATTATTGTCCAGGATTTTACTAAATTATCCCTTAACAAGATAAATAGAAAATACTAACCTGAATTGTAAATTCATCAAAGGGGCCTTGAAGGAGGGAATACCTAGAATTCTCCGAATGTAATGCATCTTAAAAAAGATGACGCTTACCCACAATACACCTACCAATATCCACGAAAGAAAAATCCCAGTAATAGCAAGTGCCTGGCTTAGTAGTATGATATACTTTTGGCAAAAAATTGTCATTTTCCAATATCTGAAAACTTCATACCTTTAAATCCATTCATGACAATCTACTCCAACATCAAGCATAATTGGATCTTCATAAGAAACCTATGAAAACTTTAACTCTGCAACTAACAGAACCCATATGGTCATATATTTGAGTCTTTGTTTCATCCCTTCATTCTGAAAAGAATTTCTTCAAAATGCTTTGCCAAACTACCATCACATCTTCATGAAAATACACAAGTATCAGACTTTAACATTTTATAGCACAGCCTACACAAACAGCTAAATTTTTGTAACAGGGTCCATTGAAATCAGAATGGTAGTTATAGGGTTAACGGTACTTAGTTGGAGATGTACCTAGCTCTGTGTTGACACCTAGAGCCAACTCCATAATAGATTAAAATCACCCAGCAAACAAATCTTGAGATCATTTGCCTTGTGGTTAACTTGCTGAGTTGGTTTTCCTAGCTTGCAAATCAAGGTTTCCTAGACATTTTATTTTGTGCATTTATGACAAATATATTTATGCCTGAGTTAAGGGAATGCTTTTAATAAGTGACTGATGAGGATGCAACAGAGTGCCAATGTTCTAGAGGATCCTTTCAAAGGATGCCAATGCATAAACTTCATTGCTTTTGCAAATTGGAAAACCAAATCATTTCCAGAAGTTATTGAATGGCAGTGGTAAGTGAACATGAGAGAAAAACTGCATCTTCACTTCTACTTCCAAGGACATCAAGTTCATCACAATAAATTTTTCACATCTCAATTTATTCAGTCATGAAAATCTCTTTTTATATAAATAAAGTGGTTGCTATGTCACAAAGCAAGTGAAACTTGCTTTAATTAATGCTCTTGACTCAGTATTACACACCATTCCAACAACAAAAAACGAGCAGGGCAAGCCCAATCCAGTGGACCTTCTTTCAATGACTTAGGAACAGAAGTGTTGCAAGTAGTTTTGGAGATGGGAGGGAGAATGGCCAAATCTGCCTAATGGCAACTCTGCCAAATATGGGAATGCAAGAGTTCAGCTACAACCCTGTTTCTGCTGCCATATACTGCCCCTCTCTTTGTCAACAATGGCTCTATCAGCTACAAAGGCTGAAAGGGAAGCAATGCCTCTGGTTGGAGACAAGGCATCCCATTTTGGTCTAAGTGTTGCACATGCAACTGAAGGTCAAGACTGAAGCAGGCTGACAGCTGCTCATACCTTTCTGCATGTAAGCATATTTTAAATTGTCAATATTAACCATATACATTTTGTTTTTACCACAAACTTTGCCATAAACACACTTAGCCTGCATCTTGTCTATATCTCCAACATACTAATTTTCACAGTCAAGACCAATATTTTTTAAAGTTATAGCTAAACAACCAGAGTGTGAGACAGACATATAGAAAAGGAGGGACTCCCAGTGGTCAATTTCATTTCAGGAAAGGAGGCCATGGAAATTGATCAACTCTGGAAAGATATGAAGCTTGCAGAAAAACAGCTTTCCTAATGCAGTAGAAACAACTTCTTGCATTAATGACAAACCATTTCTGCATAGGATTCACCCAAAAACTATCCCCATGTCTCATGGACAGGAAGTGGGCAGTTTGCATTCACTACTTAGATAAGGGAAACAACCGATGACTTAAAATTTTTTATTATTACAGCATGCAATATAGATGACAATATAATACAGGTGCCATACTGAGAACAGTGCCTTCTTAGGATAACTAAGGGATTATTATTCTGTAAGCATGACCATAAAAGAGTCAAAGTCAAGTCAATGCACAATGAATTTAAAACAAACAAAGCAGCCATAATAAGAACTTAGCTGGTTGTTTAACTGGCAATAAAATGAAATGATGTATTTAAGAGGTCTGCAAAATTTCAAAAGTGACTCACCTCTATATTCATGCTAGCCAAGATTATCTAGTGTGGAGGCTACAGGAAAACCATTACTGAGAGAAAAAAATAAACTTTTTTCACCTTCAGGAACCATTTCAACTAGGAAAGCATCATGATGATGCTGAAAGTGGCAGTCTATCAAACTAAGGAAAAATTCAAAATGAAAAATGAAATTACCTCTCCAACTCAAACGAGATCATGAACATACCACATGACAAGGTTGTAAACTTTCATCACAAAAGCTGAATCACATGCCAAGAGTTTCCTGGTAAGTTACTATCTAATGGTTCAGTGAAAGTGTACACACTGAGTAAGAAATCCATGGTAAGAATCCATATGGTAAGAAATCCATAAAATGAACAAACATATCATCTGTGAAACCCCTAGCCCCTAGCAACTCTTTTCAAAGACTACTTCAAAATCCATAAGATGACTTTTCTCTGCGCCTGGGAAGACAGCAGATTCTGCGAGCCAGAGTGAGATGGCTTGAGGATTTCACCAAAGATATGCAAAGAGCTTATAATTGCCTAAATCTAAAGATACTACCATGCACATCAAGTGAGCCAAAATGGCAACACAAAAAAATGGAACTGAAGGTCATTTATTTATATAATCTACCAATTGTACTGTTGATATTTCATCGCATTTTATGCTGATAGCCAAATCTGTAATTCACCTATTACATGGAACCAGCAGATAAAAGGTCATTATCTGATGGAATTCATACTCAACTGTAGCCAATAGTTGTACTGAAGGGAAACAGAACTCGGGTCCTTATAATATTGAAGCTATTAGAAATAAACCCAGACAAGTGGAAACATCTATGGGTGATGCAGCTTTAACTTTGAAAGCTAATGTGTTTTACTTCATGAAACCATAATTAGCAACATGATAATGCATACATTTTTTTGCATTAGACAAATTTGAAGTGTCCAAAGGTCAAAGTTTATCCTCCTTTTTGCAAAGTAAAACCAGTGGCAACTAATTTCAAATTTCATACATCAACATTTCAGTCCCAATTATTTCCTCCAGTTCCATTTGTGCACATGTGAGCCTAGAACTAGAATACATGGGGACTATTTGAAAATAGCTGAAGCATTGATTCAGCCTCCACAAAAAACAGCAAGACAACACTCAATACAGACTTGCACATAACTTCATATGCAACAAGCCACTGTAATCATACAAATAATGGGGGAAGGGGAGTAAATGCCCACAGCAATCACATATATGCATGAAATATGCACAATATACATAGCACCCAATGTTGAGAACTCAACTGAACAAGGACAGCTGAAGCAAAAAAAACAAAAAAACAAGACCTTGGCATTAGAATGGCATGGAAGAACATGAAAGTTCAAGGAATTTCAGCACCAAACTTTCAAAATTCACTGAGATCAAATAATTAATGACTGACTTCATATAGTAAACTAGAATTGCATAAGCGGGGCTTAAACTAGAATTGCATAAGCGGGGCTATCTAACATAGTCGCTGTCTGTAGTCAGTGCAATTGACAATTCTCACTTAATAACCTTCTGTATCAAAAATCCAGTGCACCAGGTCTACATGAAAGGATTCTCTCTCCATACTGCAAAAAATTAGCACAGAGTGCAGACTAGTTAAAAATGCATAACACAATTACTTCATGAAAAAACCAAACATTCAATCTCTACTTAAACAGGAAACAAAAGTGAACAGAAAGGTTGTCCTCCATGATAGAAGCAAGATGATCAAGTTCCCTCTTACATGGTAATTTTTTAACTGATTTCATATGGTAAGTCATCGGTGTATTCCTACAAGTTGATAAGAGCTTCCAAACTCTTTTGCTTACATCTTTTCACAAAGATTCCTACACCCAATTACCATCTCAGCTTCTCATTTTTTTTTTTTTTACCAACATCAGGATGTGATGAGTAAGCAAATCTCTAAATGTGTGCTCAAGAAATGTATAGTTGATCATGTAAAACTGGGCAAATCATTTTTCTTAAGTGGAACTAACAGGTGAGATGCACTGAATCCATTTAGGCTAAACTAATCTGATCTCACAATGGTCCCCAATGGGAAACAGTTTAACAGAGAAACTAATTCTCATAGACACTCATTATGAAAACAAATCAGTTTAAAGTTAAATGAATCTGGTGCATGTCACCCATTAAGGAACAAACCCCACAATCCACTTCACTGACTGCACATCTCTTGCCTACATCTTAGAGAGTTTTCATATTGGAAATTACAATCCATATCCACCTGCACTGATTCCATCAAAGAAACAATGGATTTTCAAGTAAATAATTGGCTCAAGGCACCCCCACATAATGGATATATGATAATGCAAATATATGATCAAAATGACGCACATGGCATGACATGGCTGGAAAGCTGAATGCTATTAGGTGCCACAATGTAACATGAACAATTTCGCTCCATCTGGTTGAAAAGATGTTTTGCACAGACTTTAGAATAAAAGGATTGTGAATTCTGATGAAGAGAGCCTTCTTATCCTAATGGGTAACTTATTTTGGCTTGTTGGAAATTAAAGCTTGCCACATTCCATGAATGCCTAAGAATGACTAAGACTCATTTCCTCTTGAACAGGAACTATACATTCTTCCAGGAGTTTCCAACTTCTTCCATGCCAAATGGTACAAAAAACAAAATTTCCCATTGATTTCCTCAACAAAACAAGCAACATACTGGCCAAAAGTTTAATCTTGAGGACTAGGTTTACTAAAAGCACCACAAAAAGTCAATTTTCCTTTGGTTGAGCAAAAAACTTTTGGTAACTAAGTTTCAAGAAATGAGCTAGGAATCATTGAAGAAACATAAATGAAAATGTGTACAAGAACAAAAACAACATAAAAGTAAATTTGTACAAAGTGCAAATACTGGAGTTCTACACTGGGATTATGAGCAGCACCATGGGTAATATAGACTCATGATGTGAGCTCCTTCAAAATGAGCTCAACTGAATTATGCTTCTGCTCAAGGTATTTCTGGAACCTTTTGGGGATGGTCCACCTTAGGAGAGCGATGATATTCTCCTCAAGTCTTGAAAGTACATCCTTGTTCTCAGAAATAGGGAACCCTGCAGCTAGCAATGATTTTTCTAGTACTTCATCAATATCCACCACACCATAACCTAACTCTTGAAGATCTTCCATTGATGTTATTTTCTTCATCAAACCTCCAACAAGTTCTCTCAGCAAGCATAGTCTTCCTATCCTCACTGGATCTAATCCTTTAATAGGAGTGGTCGGATTCTTGGGCTGGTTGTCACGCTTTTCACATGTTCCACCAACTGTAGATTCCATTATAGTGGGAGTGAATTTCTTGACTCTGGACTTGACCAAGTCAGATGTGATATTGTTTCCTAACTCAATATCAAGATTTGACCCATCTCCTGCTTCAGCTTTTTTCTTGTGCTGCAGAGAAATATGATCCTCTAGTTCTCTCCTCTTCTGAAAGCTTGACTTACAATCCATACACAAATATGGATGTTGTGAATGAATTCTTCTCATATGCTTCTTCAGATGAGGTAACTGCACAAACTGTGATGGGCACAGTTGACAAGAATACGGTCGAACACCTGTGTGCTTCCTTTCATGTGCTTTCCACACACTTGAATGGGCAAATGATTTCCCACAAGTTGAACAGGAATATGGTTTCTCACCTGTATGAATTCTCAGATGGACCAAAAGCTGTGACTTCTGACAAAATGACACCTTGCAATGAGCACACTCATATGGCTTCTCCTTGCTATGGATTCTCATGTGATTAGAAAGGTGACCCTTAAAAGACTGATGACACACAGGACATGTATGACGTTTAACCTGATAATGTATGGATATGATGTGATTCCGGACATTGTCCTTCCTTGGGAACCGTGCACCACATATGGAACATTCATGTGGCTTCTTGCCTTCATGACGTACCATATGAGACTTCAAATTTGACATAGTTGTGAAAGCAGCCCCACATTCCTTGCATGTATAGGGACGTTCCCCTGTATGGATTCTGTAGTGCACATTCAGAGTTCCCTTCAAAGCAAACTTCTCCCCACAAATATCACATGAATGAGGTCTCTCGCCAGTATGAACTCGTTGATGTAAGACTAATCGATCCTTGAATGGAAATGCCTTCCCACAAACATCACATTTGAAAGGCTTATGATTCAAATGAACACATTTGATGTGAGCCTTCAGATTGTGGAGGAAAGCAAACTTGGAACTACAAATGTCACAAGTGTGCTGCTTCATTCCTGAGTGAGAAATCATATGTCTTACTAAAGTGCTTGAATTCTGCAAGACTGTGTTGCATACCATGCAAACAAATTTCTTATTCTTCTTGGATTCTTCATGAGTGACTTTCTTATGCCTGGATAAAGCAGCCTGAGTGGTAAAAGTTTTTCTGCATGGCTGACATTTCACTTTTGGTTTCAATTTTTCTCGTTCATGGTTCCTCCGATGTATTATCAAGTGACTTGGAAACCGAAAGCTCTTCCCACAATTTGTACATTCATGCTTTGCTTCATTGATGGAGGTGCATTTTTCTTCTTTCTTGGTTGGGGAGATGGGAGAAGCAGTGTTAACTTTTGAACTTTTCATGCTTTCACAGGCACTCGATTCATTTGAGCAGCTCTGAGGCGTGACAGTCTTAGACCTTGAGAGACGAGGCCCAGTCACAGTACCTACTGCAGACTGTGAGTTTGGTTCTGAGGACATGTCTTTGGCACAATCATGACTAGACTTTACATCTGGTAACTTTGACTTCTCAGTATCCCTCCTGTGCTGGAGTTTATGCTTTCGTAACTCCAACTTTTGCAAGAATGTCTCGCCACATTTATCACATTGCCACTGAATTCTGAAAGAATCCTTTGGTATGATGGTGTTTCTTGTACTCCCATTGAAGCAAATCCATGCTCCTGACTTCTTGAGCATTGTAGCTGGCTGAATTTTCTTCATTGCTCCCCTTGACTAGATAATAAAAGCACCTGGAAGAACAAAAGTCATTCCAATGTCAACATCTCAGTATAATGAGTTTCTTCCATACATTCCAAATGACATTTACAGTGGGCTAACACTTTTCTCTCAAAAGAATAAAAGCTCCTGCATCATATTACAAAGGTACAAGAGAAAAAGAATCACAAGGTCCAATCAAACTGCTATAACAACGAAGAGCCTATTACTAACAAAGCCCATTTAACATAATCCTCACCTTTCATTTCCCAATTCAATCATAACACCTGTTTTTCTTGGTATCTCTGTACCTTCACTTATATTAGCACCATTATGCAATCAAGTCCCACCAAAACAAGTACAATGCTTCAACTTTTTCATGAAGTCTACTCATTGAGAAAGCTTTGTATAAACTGAGGAATATGTACAATATCAAGAGATACAAAGAGTATGAATTTTCCTGGATGGCAACCAGTCATGAAAAATTAACCAAATTATATTTTTCTAAGAAAATTTAACCATCAAGCTGCAAAACTACTGGTGAGAGTTGTGAAAAAAGAAATTGAGAAACAAATTATGCTGAACAACAAATGCAATGCTTTGTAATTAACTCTCAGTTATATACAAGAAAAGGTTCCAAGCAAGCACATCCATAAAAAAAGGCTTTATTTTATCTTGGAGCATTTCTTTCTCCATAGAAATAAGAGGTCAACTAATGGTCCATCTGTACTGAAAGCAGATGCTCAGTAGTTGACCTTTCAATTTTCCCAGTCTTCATATTTAATTTAAAAATCATTTTCACTTTTTCACACTGGAGCTTACCGTGACAAATTCCCAATGCATGTCTCCCTTCACAAGCCTAAGGTCAAAGTAGTACACTAATATTTGTCATTATTTGCTTGTTTAGATTCTATTTTAGTAGAGTGGACATATACTTATTCCTTCTGCCATCTCACTCTATACCACATCTTGTTTCTATTGATTACAGAATGAATGTGTTAGAATCAACACACCTTTGTCAAATCAATTACTTATAAGAGTCTTAGTCCCTAGAAGCCCAAGGATGTTGTTGAATCGAAGTAGAATCATCCTATTGTTGAATTCATGTTTCTGTGCCAAATTCTGCATTGACTCAAAATAGGATCAATGCTTCCTAAAGTAGAATTAGGTCTCCCTTGACATAATGAGTCAATGTTCACTGCATTCTAGAACCCACATGACTATTATTTGAGTGCACAAGGTTTCCACAACCAAAGTGAGATGACACCTAAATAGCCAATTCAGCAAGTCACTCCGATACCAAAAGCAAAATCACCCCATACTTTTCATTAAGGAATGCAATACTTCCTCATGGACAACTTAGAAGAACACCAGAAATTCTCAATATATTCAGAAATTCTCAATATATTCATCCGAAGTGGTAACCCAGTCCAGGGAGACTAGATAATTCTATCCCATGGGATGAAGGAAAGCTGGTTCAATTAGGTAGCAAACTCAATGGATTGAATAAGTGCTAAGATCGCACTTGGCAGGGAATAGCATATGATACTGCATCTAACTCTTTCATGTGGGGTGCAATGAGAAAGAAAATCTAAGAACAGAAATATAATTTCAATATAGAGCAAGTTGCTTAATAGAAATTACAGAGTTTGAATACTGTGAAGGAAATAAAAGCAACCAAACAAGTCAATTGCAGAAATAGTACTGAATGGATACCTTCATTAATTATATAATGTAGAAAGCATGTACATAGAATGTAGCAGGGTAAAATTAATCCAACATTGATGGATGCAACATTGATTCGATAAACCTTGAAGATTCTAGGGGTGATGCACAAGAGAGTTTTCCTTTCATTTCTAATAGGCCTAACTATAAAAAAAATTATATATAACAAGCCAGTCCTCCACCAACTTATTAGGGTGTGCCGAAGGATTCAAGTTTGAGAAGGCGGATGCCAATGTAATGCCAGGCAGTCTTGGCTTATCATATCGCGATTAAATTCTCCAGGCGTGTATTTACTATTTACCTATTGCGAACGCCAATGTTATTGTCTTAATTGTCCACTCACCTTCGAACTTCAGGCCAGCGAAGCATCTGGCCTCAGCCCAGCTTCCCGACGAGCCCGACCTTGCTGAGCCCAAGCGTGCGATGGGCCACGCAGCCGGTGGTATTGGCCTCTCGGGCGGGTGGGTCCATGGCTGGGTCGCAGGGCTGGTCCTCTGCTGTTTGTTTTGTACGGACCCTGGTGTTATGGTATCGAGACAGTGATGCCAGGCTATGCGACGTGTCCTGATGACGAAAGTTCAACTTGAATTTAATGGTACAAAGGAACACATATTTCATGGAAAGTTGATGAATACGGCTATGATGAAGTATGTCACATAAGTACAGAATATGCCACAACGTAATCGCGAAAAAAACTTCCGATCGCAGCTGGGGAGCAACCATGCACCACCACCCAAGTGCGGTGCAAATGCCGTTCTCGGATAACCGACGCCTCTTCAATTGTATTTGTAATAAAAAGGAATGGGACAAGGCGAACAAAGTCAATACCTACTTATTATCAATAAATTTATTTTATGAATACAATCATGGTTTATTCTAACAATGTTTCAAAGGGAACCCCGAAACAGAACCGGAGAGATGTCCCGTTGATTTTTTGGCAGGGTACGTGGCCAATGGCAATACTGTATATCTTTGTCAAACCAGACTGAGAGAGATTTCTCAGATTGTTTGAGAAGTCAGAAAATCTGCCCGAAGGCGTGTTGTCGTAGCTCTTTTAAATAAATTTTTGAAATAGCTTTGCCTACAAGTATTACGGTTGTATATACGGTTGATATGTGCGATGCTTACTCATACATATGTGAGAGTTTCTTTCGGGAATTCGTGGTAGACCAACGTTTCTCAACCTCTTTTTCATTCGCGGCACCCCTGCACAGTGGCCCAGAACCAGAATATTACTGGGGTAAATGAAAGTTCTGAAGTCCAGGACCTCCAAACTTATTCATGAAAGGATTTATCACGCACGATCGCCATCAAGGCAATCGCTGCAACCTCATCTTTCTTACTGTTGCTTTCCAAATTTCTCCTCAATTTACTGAGCGCCATGGCACCAACTTACTTACAACACACAAGCCAAAGCAAAGACAGCTTGCGTCATATTTCCGCAACTTGACCTTCATCGCGGCTTGCTTCTTTATACAAAGCTTTATGTCTATTTCGCAACCAGCACGACCCCGTTGAGTTTTCGGCGCGGTCCGTCGCAGCATCGATTCTGACGCTACGGCGTACGACAGCAGAACTATTCTGCGACGAGGGCATGACAAAGTATGGTAAAGAGAAGCCTTTAGGGTGTCTGAGGAGAGAAATGATCTGAGCAGTGCTGAAACTCCAACCACCTCGTGCGCGGAAAAGGTACATTTTATGACTCCACTTTGAATGGCTGTCGCTTTTTACTCAGACAACCTAGACACCATGAAACTTTCAGGAAACAAATATTGCCTTAAAAGATCCAAGGCGCTTTTATAAAGCGTAAAACAGGGCGATATACACACCAGACGATCTGGAGGCTACCTGAAATCAAGCCCATACCATGCAAACGATTGGAAAAGACAAGATGGGCGAAATATGGCACCTCATCGTAGGCTTTCAAAAGATATGGGGAGCATGGTACAAATGCTCTTTAAATACCATGAACGGAATATTCTCGAATTCCGTGAGCTAATATTTATGACAGGTGAGTGACAAGCGCAGAGGTGCTGGGCCAAGGGAGGGTTCGGTGCTTTAACTAAGATGATCGCCTGTTCGTCCATCCTCAAACACTGGACCTGCTGCGTTACCAAAAGCCAAAGGAGGCGCTCGAATCCACTGCGGCCCTCCCCCTCCCCCCTCCTCGCCTGTGAACGCCACTGGTAGGGTTGCTCGGAAATATTTTTGCAGTGGAAATGTTCCGTATATAATGGTCACGCCGGTGGTTTGACGACGAGGATAAGGTGTAAACACCCCTCTACGCCCCACCCCCTCCGTTGGGTCCTTATCGCCGTCCACATTCAATCCCCTTCCCCCCTTTCGAATTTGCACCCTCGCGTCCTCGCCCGTCCACCTCACTCCCTTAAGCGGAACCGGGGGTTAATTACCGGGGATTAGTGGGCACACTAAATGGATAAGAAAATTTTGTTCACACCACTTTATGCTCCAAGTGCCTTACTTTTGGTGCACTTTGGCCAAGCTTGGGGGGTATTGTCCCCCTCCCCAAATGATATTGATTAGAGGTTCAGCAGCTTACTACGCAGCTTACCCCGTGGGTACGGCGCCTCTGCACCTTATAGGTCCCCGTGACTTCTGAACAGCAGAGATTAACTGAAAAAGGATTTCTGATGTTGAAAGGCATCAGTCAACAGAGTCTGGAATGCCTACTAGTCCTATTTAGGTGAGAAAGCCCCCCCTGGATGCCGCGGCACAATTCTTGAGAACCTTTGCATTAGACACTTGTTTTCATCACAGAACTGTAACTTTCTTCCTTTTTTTTTTAATAACTACGATGAGGGCACCTGCAAGCGGCCAGCAGTAGATCGGCATGCTACATCGAAAAGCACCTGCAGGAGCAGAAGGGAAGGAAGGTAGCACTTCATCTCCTCACTGTGTCTCGACACAGGCGAAGTGCCTCCTCTCATCACAGCTGTTTTCTCCATCGCCAGTTTTTATCAGGGGTTTGTAGGGTTGTCTGGATGTATGTGTTTAGAATGTTTTGAGACGTGGTCAAATAATCTCTGTTCCTCGTATTTTTTTCAGCTGGTTTCTCCCCTGTTTACTGCTGGTTTCCAACCGCCTTCTCTTCCTTTCTTTCTTCTGTTCCCTCAATAGGTTTCAACGGTGGAATTCGATAGATTTTCGCATGATTCAGATATTCGATGGATATCGTATTCGTCAGGACCGCCCAGAGGTTTCCAGGGGCCCGGGGCCTAAACTAAACTAAAAACTTAATCGGAGACCCCTTGGGGGCCCCCTTGAAGCCCTTTGAAGGCCCCCTTTGGGACCACTTGATACACAGGACCAGGGGCAGATTACCCCATGTGCCCCCCCCCCCCTCCCTCTGGACGGCTCTGGTGTTCGTTTGAAAAGTTGTGAACGCATGTGAAAAAAAGCAACTGCTTTTATTTTCTCCATCCACTTCCCCCCAATAAAAAATATACAAAGTAAAATTCGTCCGTCAAAGTTGAATTCGTCCGTCATTTTTGAAAAGCTTAAATTTCGAGGAAATGACCTGAGCCACAAGCATTAGTAATATTATTTTATCTTCACGAATCCGAAACATTAATATCATCCCCCATGTAAAATCCCTTTATCTGCTACTGAACAGATTCAATTTAGCATATATATACTATTTGCCCCGTGCTTTCAGTACATCCCGATAAAAAGACTTCAACTCTTCTCCCTTTCAGTCGCTAAGAGCCCTAACCATAAAGTTCGTGACTCAGTTTGCAGGGAAAAGGAAGAATTGGGCCTATGAGTAACTGTCTCTTATCTGAACGTTAGACCTTGTTGGCAACCCGAACTCGCGCCAGCTCATGGTGTCATGGTCCTTCCCTGTCCTTCATCGGCCCAGGTACTTATTGATGATAGGTGGGCTTCGTGACAGTCATCTCGGCTGACCTATCGTCTGAAATCATCATTTCCCCTTTTTATTCCCGGGAATCATCGAAATGGATGGTACGTACTCAAACCTATTGTAGAAACAGATCCTGCTGACGGCAGACTTGAGCTAGGTTTAGCTTAAGTCTAAAGTCTACCATAGGCCTGACATTGAGCCTAAAGGCAACTGGCCTTACCCAGGGTAGCCCTGAACTGATTTATATCCAGAGCACCTTGGGCCTTTTTTGTATCCCAATTAAGCTTTAACATGCAAGGAATACTGTTGTGCTCTCTGAAAAGGTTTTATTTAACCTGAGTCCCCTGGTGAACCCATGGAACTCTTGTGAAGTCCTTTTTGATGTTACTTAATGCTGGTAATCTACTTCCTGCTTAATGGTAATTTACATCAACATTAATAAGTATATTGAAAATCTAAATAAAATTTTCAATAAAGCTAAGTTCATTCATGTTGTATGAGGTGGATGATTCATTCTCTCTTTTCCTAGACACCCTCTTTCAGCTGAAGTTCTGTACAAAGCAGTTGGATCGCCTTTCTCGACGTGCCGAAGTGGAACAAAGGAAAGAGCAAGCAAAAGTGAAGAAGGCTCTGCAGAAGGGGAACGTGGAGGGTGCCAGGATATATGCAGAAAATGCCATACGTAAGAAGAATGAAAGTCTGAGCTACCTGAGAATGTCATCAAAAGTTGATGCGGTTGCATCAAAAGTTCAATCAGCCCTCACGATGAAGTCTGTAAGTAACCAGGCTTTAGCATGGACTGTTATATATGCCATACTCATAGTTTGGCATGATAGAAGCCCTGCATTGGCCTTACATCTTCAGGGTTCATGTTAACTCACTATAGCGAGTCCTTGACTCATATTTTCTTGGAGGGACTCATATTTGCAAAACATCCAGGTCTGTGGGACTTATTGACAACCATCTGAACATGTTCCCACTGAGCTGAAGCTAGGCACCAGGACTCAAGATTTAAAAAAGCTAGCATGAACCCTGATCTTTGTAGGTGATTCTCATGCCCCCTTGTCTTGCCTCCTTACTTTTGGTTACATGATTCCATGCAGTTCTTACTGTTGAATTAATGGGCTTTGTACTTGCCCTCCAACCCTTTAGCCACTTGATGCAGACCTCAATATGAGTAAATTCACATGTAGTTGTCACTGTATCACAACATTTTATTTGGCAGCATGATGCATCTGATTCACAAGGGTTTGGTTTGTAAGAAGAGAAGTTAGCACAATTTAGGCAAAGTATTCATGAACTGCTAATGTAGACTTTCTCACATTTACACTAGGTGCCTAGGCTTCAGTTCTATTCGTGTTTCCAATTTAAGAATCTTTGGTTGGCATTTTCTGCCAAGAAACTTTCACATGAAAACAGCATAGTATCATTCAACCCTAAAGCATTGACACATCTTTTGTTTAAACAGGTCACTAAGAATATGGGAAGTGTGGTGAAAGCTTTGGAAAAGGCCTTGAATTCCATGGACCTTCAGAAGGTATCAGCCGTCATGGAGAAGTTTGAGAAGCAGTTTGAAGACATGGATGTCAGAACTTCAGTAAGTTTGCATGAAGGGCCCTTGAGTCGATGTGGAGTAAGAGACTGCAATGTGTGATGCATATTCAAGTACAAAAGCATAGTTGGCCTCCCATTGCCAAAAGAACTGCATTTCATGAATTAATGAAGAAAATTTATGGGGGAAAATTCAAAAGATGTTTGGAAATTTAAAATGAACAAAAGCTTATGCTGGTGTTCAAGTGAAGGATTGCCCTTGCCCCATTACATGAAATCCATGGCACATTGAACTTATCTTCCATTGGAAATCACTCTTTGGGCTGGCCTTTTTTTTGGGGGTGGCTTTGATTCAATTTTTTAATTGACTGATAAATCAATGAGTGTCAATACAGAGAATTTAAGTTTTCCCTTTGTCTGTGTTGGAGGAGAAAACAGTTGAAGTCTAGTAACTTTGAGGGGACTGGAGTCCCCTGTCCATTTTCAATTTGATTTCTTATATTTCCATTATAAAAGTTTTCTTATGATTCCCCATAGCCTTGCTTTGATGGAATATATTTGGATGAAACTTTGATGGTCGGTTTGGAACATTTATATATAATATAAATCAATTCACAAAGCAAGTTGAGTGAAAGTAGCTCCAGCAAGAACAAACATTTATAGGTTGAAAGTAAAGTTGTTGATCTGTTTATTTTCCATACCCTGTATACATGTGCTCCGTTCTAACCTGTTTGGCAGCTGTTTTGGAAAACTTATAACTTAAATTTAATTTTTTAGTACTTTTAGCACCAATCAGTAATTAGCTCAAAATTTTTAATATGGCTTAATTTATATGATTAGATAGCTTACTAAACTCCCCTATGGCAATATCACTGAGTGAAACTGCTTGTGTTCAATGCATCCTTTTTATATTCCAATAGTTCTTTTTATGTCAAATTCTTAAAAAAAATTGGAAACTAAATGAAAATATAGGCCTTTGAAAATGTAGGCCATTTTATAGATGGAGTGGTTGAGAGTCAGCTTGAGTATTCTCATAATAATTTGGATGCCAGTGCCACATTAACCCTTTGCACTCCACTTTGCTGCCCACACATCATGAATTTGCAGTTATGCTCCAGTGTTGCAATACTTGCACCACTTATTTACATATAACATCCTGGCCTTCACCCCAGGAGCTGTTTTAAGGGAGTTCACACTCCAAAGGAGTACAAAGTTTGAGGGACACATCCTATTCTGCTAAATAAAACAATAAATTTTCATTTTCATTCTGTAGTTTGTGAAAAAAAAACTTTTTTTTTCTGAACCATACCTTTTTTTTTTTTTTTTTTTTT